CAACACTCTCTCCTCTCGTTGCTATGCATCACCATGACCCTGCGTGTGCGTAGGAATTTTTTTGAAATTACTACATTCCCCAACAAAGAGTGGAGGGGCAGGAAGAAGGCGTGGGAGAAGAAAGGGGAATCTTATCTCCTTATAAATGCAGTGAATATTGAACGCCTCCCCACTCGCCTTAAAATTCGCCTACTCCCAAGGGCTGTGTAAACGGCATGGTTGGGTTACCCACGCCCGTATTGATGAGAATCCCGCGATAAGGGGACATGACCTCTGCTTTGACAAGACGTGCCAATGACAAGCGCGTCTCGAAACATGGAGCGGCAGGCAAAAAACGGTTCAAAATTATGACCGAACGGACGTGATGTCATGTTGTAAAAGTAGTCGGAGGATTGGACTCATGTATTATAATATTCTCTCTACGGTTGTGTGGTGTGTGTTACAGGTCCGGACACGATCAATTCGTCCGAAGACTATTTTGGAGTTCGGAAGGAGGAACCCGTCTTGCAATGCCGAAGACAGATATACGCGTCGGATAGCTTGTCATTGAAGCCAGGTTCAGGGGCTACTGAGGGAGTCCTGGACTAAGGGGTCCTCGAGTGTCCGGCCTGTTAGCCATGGGCCGGACTGATGGGCTGTGAAGATACAAAGATCGAAGACTGTACCCGTGTCCGGATAGGACTCTCCTTGGCATGGAAGGCAAGCTTGGTGACGGAATATGTAGATTCCCTTCTTTGTAACCGATCTTGTGTAACCCTAGATCCTCCCGGTGTCTATATAAACCGGAGGACTTGGTCCGGATAGGATATACTCATTACCGTAGTCATACAGGCTAGACTTCTAGGGTTTAGCCATTACGATCTTGTGGTAGATCAACTCTTGTAATACTCATATTCATCAAGATCAATCAAGCAGGAAGTAGGGTGTTACCTCCATAGAGAGGGCCCGAACCTGGGTAAACATCGTGTCCCCTGTCTCCTGTTACCATCAACCTTAGACGCACAGTTCGGGACCCCCTACACGAGATCCGCCGGTTTTGACACCGACAACCGGTGCATCTTCGCACATGGCCGCTTATCTGGGTAATCTCCCTTCCGTGTCTCCTATTCACACCTCCTCTCGTATCATTGTCGGTAATGGTGCTGGACTCCCTATCACTCATGTCGGTTCCACTAGGTTTCCTTCCACCTCTAGACCACTTTATCTAAATAATGTTCTTGTTTCCCTTGAACTTATTCAGAATCTAGTCTGTGTTCGTAAGCTTTCTCGAGATAACTCTGTAACTGTGAAATTTGACGAAGTTGATTTTTCTGTTAAGGACGCCCTCAACCGGATGGTTCTTCACAACTATGACAGTCCCGACGACATGTACTCCGTCCAGCCACCATCATCTACACATGCTGGACCGATTGCTCTTTCCGCCTGAGTCGATCTTTGGCACGCCCGTCTTGGTCATCCTAGCTCCACCACCTTTCGTCAAATAATTAGGGATTTTTCTTTTACATGTAATAAAATGGATGCGCATTCTTGTCACGCATGCCGTCTAGGCAAACATGATCGCCTCCCTTTTAGTTCTTCATCCACAGTTGCATCGGTACCTTTTGAGTTAATCCATAGTGATGTCTGGACCTCTCCCGTTGCTAGCAATACTGGTTTTTCATATTATCTTGTTATCCTGGATGACTACTCCCACTTTGTGTGGACCTTTCCGTTGTGTAAGAAGTCTGATGTTGCTGCCACCCTTACCGCCTTCTACTCTTACGTGTCTACACAATTTGGTCGTTCCATCCTCGCTTTGAAAACAGATAACGGGAAAGAATTCGACAACACCACCATCCGCAACCTTCTCTCCACCCATGGCACAATTTTCCAGCTCACGTGTCCTTACACTTCACAGTAGAGTGGTCGGGCTGAACGCATCCTTCGCCCTCTTAACGATTGCGTCTGTACCCTCTTATTCCATGCCTACATGCCTCCCCGCTTCTGGCCCGACGCTCTCGCTACTGCCACCCTCCTCATTAACCTTCGTCCATGTTGCACCCACTGGAATTTTACACCACACCACCTTCTCTTCGGGTCTCCACCCTCATATGACGGTCTTTGTATTTTCGGTTGTCTTTGTTACCATAGTACTGCTGCCACATCCCCTCATAAACTTGCTCCTTGTTCCCTCTCGTGTGTCTTCCTCAGTTACCCGGCTAACACTAAGGGCTATAGATGCTATGATCCGGTTTCCCATCGCATCGTCACATCTCGACATGTTTATTTCGACGAGTTTTGTTTCCCGTTTAAACAGGAACAACCAGTGGATTCTCCCTCAGCGCCATGCCCCTCTCTTGCCGACACTGTCCACCCCGGCTCTCTGCCGCGGCGTGGTGCCCTCTCGGCCGTGCGATGCTACGGCTGTCGCCCACTGCCTCCCCGGTCGCGCCTCCTTCACCAGGCTTGTTGGCGTCTACGCCGGCCTCGCCGGTGTCTCCGGCCTCTGTGGCGGCCTCGCCGGTCTCTACACAGGCCTCGGCGGGCTCACTGGCTTCGCTGGCCTCCGCCCCGGTATCTTTGTCGGGCACGTCGCCGGTCTCGCCGGCCTCTTCGCCGGCTCCTCTACCGACGGCTGCACCTTCGACGTCCGCTGATCCTAGTGGATATGGGTCCACCGGGGCTGCCGTGGCTCCACCACCCGCCGGCCCCGTCACTCGGTCCCGCATGGGTGTCTACCGGTCGAGTACCAGGTACTCCCTGGAGGAGCACACTTGTGTGGCTTCGACGTCCGCTCCGTCACTGTCGCCTCTGCCGACCTTTGCTCGTGCCGCGATGAAGGAGGAATTTGACACCTTGCAGTGTAATCACACTTGACAACTTGTACCACGTCCCCCCTCAAGCCAACATCATTACCAAGAAGTGGGTCTTCAAGCACAAGTTTCATCCTGATGGCACTCTCAATCGCCACAAAGCGCGTTGGGTTGTTCGTGGTTTTTGTCAGCGCGCCGGTGTCGACTTCACCGATACTTTTGCCCCGGTGGTCAAACCTGGGACGATTCGGACTATTCTTCAGCTTCCAGTGTCCCACTCTTGCATGTGCATCAGATGGACGTTTCCAACACCTTCCTTCATGGTCATCTTAAGGAACAAGTGTTCTGTCAGCAGCCCACGAGATTCGTTGATGAGTCCTCTACGGATCATGTGTGCTTGCTCTCTCGGTCCTTGTATGGGCTTAAGCAGGCTCCTCGTGCTTGGTATCAGTGCATCGTAGCGTTTCTTCATCATCTTGGCTTCCACTCTGCTCGCTCCCATGCTTCACAGTTTGTCTACAGCCACTGTTTTCCTGCTGCTCTATGTCGACGACATCATCTTGACAGCATGCTCGACTGCTCTTCTTGGACAGCTCATTGACCGTCTTCGTGCTAAGTTCGCCATTAAGGACTTAGGTCATCTGCACTATTTCCTTGGGATCGAGGTTATTCGCCGAGCAGATGGCTTCTTTCTTCATCGGCGGAAGTATGCTCATGAGCTTCTGGACTGTGCCGGGATGCTTAACTGCAAACCGGCCGCCACGCCTGTCGATAGAAGGCCAAGCTCTCTGCCACAGATGATTCTCCAACTTCAGATGCTCCGTTCTACCGCTCGATTGTTGGTGCTCTTCAGTACCTCACTCTTACTCGTTCAGAGCTTCAGTACGCCGTGCAGCAGGTGTGCCTCCATATGCATGCTCCTCATGATGCTCACTGGACCGCGGTCAAGCGCATTCTTCGCTATATCTGAGGCACTTCGGATCTCGGGTTGTCACTTCAGGCTTCGTCCTCTCTGGACTTGACTGCCTATTCTGACGCTGACTGGGTCGTCTGCCCCGACACGCGCCGCTCGACCTATGGCTATTGCGTCTATCTTGGACCATCACTTATCTCCTGGTTGTCCAAGCGGCAGCCCGTTGTCTCCCGCTCTAGTGCTGAAGCGGAGTACCGCGCCGTTGCCAACGTCTTTGCCGAGTGTTCCTGGCTTCGTCAGCTTCTACATAAGCTCTAGTCTCCGGTTGACAAGGCCACAATTGTCTACTGTGACAACGACTCTGCGGTCTACCTCTCCGCCAACCCGGTTCATCATCGACGCATCAAGCACATTGAGATTGATATCCATTTTGTTCGGGAGCAGGTAGCTCTTGGTCATGTACGCATGCTACATGTCCCTACCTCCCAACAGTTTGTTGACGTCATGACCAAGGGCTTGCCTACCGCGTCCTTCGAGGAGTTCCGGTCCAGTCTTTGCGTCGACCATGGTGCCGCTTCGACTGCGGAGGGTGTTGAGATGTAGATATTGCATGTGTATTTCTTGTACAACAAGACCTCCTTTTATGTATAGTTGAGGACGTGACTCTCCTGTGTATTTATATATACTTGCAATAATCAATATATCGTGAGTTGCATCAATCTCCTACGCTAACGACGACAGCCAGCAAACAAAGCTGTCCCCGTCAGCTGACACCGGGCATCGGTGAGCGTGGCAAAATGGTATTGGTGGCGTCTTTGGAACCGGGACGGCAGCTTTGGTGGCACCTTCGGCGCATGCACGGACATCAACACCATGCATATGGCAATAATACTGAGTATTCATTGCAACTGCGATCTTTCCTGCAAGAACCCTTCTTTCCCTCAAAATACCGGCAGGTAACTTTCACGGGGAGATTTTCTTGAGTGATGGCATGTCAAATCAGACAAATGTCCCATTCTCCGTGGGCCCTGACTAACGACCAGCTCAGAGCATAATGATACGATAAGAGTGAGACGAGATACTCTGCACTTGCCAAATAATCCGAGAGTCGTACCAGCTAAGCTAAAAACATCACAAATTTAACCCAGCAAAAAAAAGAAAGAACGAACTCTTTTCCTAAAGACACCTACTACCAATTTCCCTAAAAAGAAGGACACCTACCGATTAAATTAATCGTCCTGAAAATTGTCGTTTGAGCTACCAACATCTACGAGACCTAATGTCTGCGCGAGCTATCACATGGAGCTCGCGGAATCCGTCCAAGGAAAAATGCCTTGGCCCGGCCCAAGCACACGCACTGGGTCGTAGCGGGCCTTGCGGGCCAGGAAGCGGTCCCAGGTGGGCCCGAAATGGCTGCGCCAATGCGCCTGCGTGGGCTGCCGGGCAAGGTACTGCTTGGCGCCGATGCCGCCGCCGGCCCGGCACGCCTCGTCGGCCACCCGGCGGTGCTGCTCCAGGATCTCCTCGACGCAGCCGCGGCCGCACCGCGACGGGTCGGCCGACCGGAGCACGCTGAAGATGTACATCACCCCGCCCGGCGCCGACGGGATGACCGCCGACGTGTTCCCGTCCCACCTGAAAAAGATCCACAAAGATCAGATGATGACTGGCGGGTTCAACATGTTCAGAACTGGGAATTGGAAGGAAGCATTGCATTCTTTCGGAAATGTATGAATTTTTTTGAAGGGCGGTCATTTATGCTTGTTTGGTTTGGTTGATGGACATAAATAGAACGTGGAAACCCTTCTCTGGGGCATTGTAGATTTGCTGTCGAGAAAAGGTGAAACATCTCTTCATCACCCGGATCATGTCAGGTCACAGAAACAGAGGGTTTTGGATGCAGAGAACCCAATTGATAAGCATTAAGGGTTCTGGCTGGAGCCGAGCTGACAGGCCACACTGGATCTTCAAATCGCGAGGATCCACAAAACTGGGCCGCAGCCAAAAATCCGAAGTTCTGGCCCTTACAAACGAAAAATTACTCACTCGCGCCTGTGTTAGACTGTACAGTACCGTCGCTGTACACGGTGGGGAACTAGGATGCTTGTATGGGACAGACAGGGGCGTCAAGGCGGGAAGAAGAAAGGCTTGGACCAGGACCGGAGAGGGGGACAAGCAACAGACCGTAGTACTAGCCGCCATAGGTGTGCACTGTTGGTGGAAGCAGAGGAGAGTAGACACACAAGCCGGCCACCAAAGCCAAAAGTTGCAACTTGCAAGATACAGCACTTGAAGACAGTATCATATCACAGTGCTGCTAGCCTGCTACAGCCGCAAAGGACTACCATTAAATACTACTACGGTCTATGATGGTTTCCATACTGGTTAAGGGCCCTTCTTGGTTAGTGGTCGGCTTGTCCCGGTGTAATCTTTTTGCAAGAGGTGGGTAACAACAGTAACAGACGAAGCAGATGCGGAGCTGGTGAAGGGTGAGCTTCGGTAGGCTCACTAGTTTCACTGTATCTGACGGTTGACGGGCAGATGCAGCGAGACCGCATGATCCGGTGTCGCAAAAGGAGGCGACCGCTACGGGGCTGTGCATCTCTCTCTCGGCTGCTGTAGCGAGATGTCATGGCTCTGTCAGTTGTCACGATTGGGCCAAAGGTGCCGCGCGTTAGGTTGGCCAGGCAAGTGTTTTTGGAGAGGATAACTACGACGCCCCGAGCAGAAGAAAAAGATCGACCAAAAGCCACAAACATAACAGCACTTTGACACTAATTATGCGCGTACAAAGGCGATCTCGCCACATCATCCAATGATTTTCTGCACCCGAAAAATCTTGCAAATATCGCGAAAGGGATGGCTTTAGGCTTTATTTTTGAGATGAGTTTATTAGTGTAGACTACACCCAACGAACAGAGGTAGTAGTACCTGACAGCTTTACCGATGGTTAAGATATCGTGAGCTAACACTAATTTGCAACAGGAAAATGGAGATGATGATGATATACTTTTGCCAGAGGAGGAAGGATAGATGTGCGTACTTGTCAGTGAGGAGAGGGTAGACAAGGATGGCCCCCTGGAAGTCTCCCGCCAAGACGGTGTCCATGAGCAGGTCCTTGAGCTGAGCGACGCCATGCTTGGGCACGAACATGTTGAGCCAGGGGTGAGCCACGTCCCAGAGCCCCTGGCTCCTCAGGCTCTCCTCCTCCATCCTCACCCTGTTCAGGAAGTCGAAGTAGGACACCTCCACGCTGTACATGTGGGGCCTCATGTGGCTCATCTCCCCTGCCACCAGCTCCACAACCTGCACAATTTTTTTAAAGACCACAAGAAGACTAACTCGTTACTCCAGTATTCAGCCGTCCTTTTCTGTTGCTGTTCAAGATGTTAACTCGCGTTTTTTATTTAAATTGAAAATTGAAAATTCTGTGTGAATTCAGGAGACTGACATTGTCGACACTGGAGCTGGAGCCGTCCTGCTGGAAGTCATGCACTGCAAACTCTATGCAGTAGTAGACCTTCTTCCTGCCCTCGGAGCCGAAGTCTGGGCTGAAATCGATGCTGGCGGGGAAGGCAACGGATGAGCTGCGGATGGAGTGCTCATCCAGAACCATGAACCCCTCCACGTAGTCCACCTGCTCCGGCATTGAGATCAGAAGCTCTTGGTCCTTGGTGAATGTTTCGAAGCTCTCGTAGAAGGCCCTCACCCATCGCACCTGATGATCACCAGGATGGTAAAAACAATAACCAATTGTCAAATAAAGCTTAAGAGTAACGAAAGATGATTGGCAGTAGAAACGAAGGCATGAGGCGACTGCATGTACCTTTGGAGGAGCTTCTTGGAGTAGAATCCGTGCCCTGGTGATGATGCCGAACTGGCCGAGACCGCCAAGAACTGCGAAGAAGAGATCCGGGCTCTTGGTGCGCGAGCATGTCACGACCTCCCCATTCCCTGCGGCCAACATACCAAGAACATGAAAAGGAGGGGTAAATCACTGCAGAATTTACAGGTTCAGCGTTTTGTTCTTTTCTTTTTTGAAAATTGAAATGAAACAGAGAAAGGGTTTATGAGAATAAGAAAAATTGACAGTAGGCTGCATGTGCGCGGTGGCTGTTGAGTGCTGCATACCTGTGACGACTTGGAGCTGCAGGACGTTGCTGATCTGCGGGCCATGCTTGAACGCCTGGCCGCTGATGCCGGCATTGGACAGCGTCCCGCCCACGGTGAGGTACAAGTAGTCCGTCCAGGACAGCGGCGCCAGCCCGGCCTTCAGGCACTCCTCCAGCACCTCCACCCACAGAGCGCCGGCGCCCACGTCCGCGTAGGCGCAAGCGGTGGCCTCGCCGCCCGCCCGCGGCGCCGCCACCACCACGACGGTGCGTGGCAGGGAACGCGTCTCCACCACAATGCCGTCGCGCGCCTGCGCCTGGCCCTGAAGCGAGTGCCCCACGCCGCGCGCGGCCACGGTCGCCCTCGGGCGCGGCGGCGCGGACGACAGCGCGCCCAGGAGGAGCGCGATGTCGGCGGAGGACCCCGGGCGGAGGATCGCGAAGGGCGCGTCGGAGACGACGGCGCCGAAGTCGCGCGCCGAGGACGGGGCCGAAGTCGCGCGCTTGGACAAGTTACGGGGCCCGATGGCGCTCCTTGCTGGACGAGGCCGATGGAAGAAGCAAGGTAGCTGAAGGCGTGGTCGCTCGTGGTCGCTCGCGCGAGCTGTTTGGTGATTGCTGCCTCGGCCGGGACGTCTCTGTCTGGATGGATCCTTGGGTTCCCACAAGAACTGTGGATCGATGGGAGGGAGGGAGGGAGAGGGAGCGAGGCGAGACAGCTCGCGGATATATACAAGCGGAGAGGAGAGGAATGGGTCTCTGTCGCCGGTCGTAAGCCGTGCCGTGACGCGGTCGGGCCCTGAGAGAGAATCTAATGGAAACCCGGAGTGGGGTACGGCGGATCCACGAGGGCCCGGACCTGTTTCCCGCCTCCGTTCGCTCCACACTTCCACTGATCGATCGCGTTTGTCCCAAGAGGATTAACCACTAAACCTTGGGCAAGAGAGCAACTTACATCGTGAAGAAGTTTAAGAAGAGATCCATTTTAAAAAAACCTTATACTGCTATTAGATAACAAGCTCTAGTTTAAAACTGCGACACTTGTTTTGGATTGGAGCATCAACTGAGACTTGGTTTGACTGAGATTTAGCAATCCTAATCTTTTTTGGATGGATATATCGCTGTATTACTGCTAGATTGTGGAAAAAGAAGGGTACTCGTGGCTATATTGGACCCATGTCTTGGAAAAAGGCCTCGTCCTCGTATATTTTATAGAACTGCAGAAACCCATGTACAGCAGTGCGTATTCTAATCGACGGTATATTAGAAAAAACTCTGTATAGTATCAGTATGTAGTGCCTGCCACGGCACGTAGCGGTCAGTCGCCTCCTCGACGGTGGCTACGAGAGCGCACCGATCCATCTCCGGTGGTCACTGTGGCTGACGCTTAGACGGCATTACTACTCTACTTGCCAGCGACCGTTTTGACTCCCACCGCGGAACGAGTGACCCGTCTTGGCTTCTCTCCCGCCATCCCCGCAGAAACTTCAACGCTGGGCTGCGAGCGCGAGCGCGAACGCGAAAGCGGGCGGCCGGACAGGTGCGTGTCTGCAGCAGCGGCGCTTCCCCGTTGCGGCCTACCTGCCTGCCTGGCGCACACCCCGTGCGTCCGTGGCGTGCTTGCTCGACACTGCTGGGCAGCGACACCCACGTAGCACACGTTACGTGCATGCACTCGCCGCCGGCGTCTGCGGCGACGTACGTACCCACGCGTCCCATACGAAACGTCACTTGCGTCGCCTGCCGTCACCATGGGTCTCGTCGGCGCGATACGTACGTGTGCTTGCGGACTATTTTCTAGAAAGAAGGCGTGCTTGCCGCGTGGAAGTTCTCAGGCTTAAGTCACGAAAACCTAAATCCTCTTACGGCGGCGGCTAGGGCGGCTAGGGCTTCGATGGTTCTCATACTCCGGCGCCGTCCTCCGCCGGTGATATGGGGGAGCGTTGGGGGCAAGGGGTTTGTTGGATCCGCGTGTATGGATCGTGTAGATTTGGATTTTAGGACCTACTCCTAGTAGCTTAGGTTTTTGGCCGTTCGACGTTATGGCGTCGATAAGGGCTACGTCGGCGTTGAATCCATCACCCACTTGGATTCGATTGCTAATCTATTCAAGTGGGGATGGTGTAGTAGCGGAGGCATTACGATAATGGAGTTGTGTCATTGAGATCCGTCGTTGTGACGGTGTTTGCTCCGATGACAGCGTGGTGCTCGAGAGGTAGTGCATGAGGGAATGTAGATAGTAGTATGCTTTGACAACAACCGGAAGATGGTGGATCATATGCTGGATCCGTGGTTGCCAGATGGTAGATATGGTTTCTTTTTTCGACATCATTGCCGAGCGGGGGTGTCAGATCTAAAATTTGATGACGTGTCCTAAGTGCTGCATCGGCCAGATTCTTTCAACGGGCGATGGATTCGCCTTTCGTAAGCTACTTTAAAGGTTTGAAAAGTTGCTTATTAGCGATGGAGTCGCGACGAGCTTGGACAAAGGGATGATCCGTCACATTTTATTTTTGTGGCTGCTACGATGGTGCCTGAAGTAGATGACGGACATTGGCACCAAACTCGGATGATTTTTCGATTTGATTGTAGTTTTCTTTCTATGTTGGTAGTCTTTTGTGCAAAAGCTGGAATTCTGCTATATTATCTTTTCAGCTTTATTAGATCAATGTCTAGTGTATCAGTAACTTTGATTTTCATTACACAAATGAGACACGTATTATCATTTGGGAAAAGATGACCCTGACAAATGCCATACATGTGGCACGAAGCAATTCAGCCCTGACGTTTTTTATGACAAGTTTATTTACCCATGGATGACACTTTTAGTTGTGAGCATGTCTAAATTTCTGTTTGGATGACAAGTTTTAGTTTTTTTCGGATGACAATTTTTTTAAGTTGTAAAAAATGTCAGGGCGGTGTTACTTCGTGTCACACGTGTGGCACTTATCATTTGGCAAAAGAAAAGTGTACTGCATCGACCGGTCAGCCTCATCAAAGATTTTTCTTTTCTTTGAAACGGAAGTCTCGTCCAAGATTGATACCGTGAACCAAGTGTCCAAGTGCTCGCACTCTTGCGCCACACCAGAGAGAGAGAGAGAGAGAGAGGTGCACCAGTGGGATCGTTGCAGGGTCGACAAATTTCAGATTCTCAATATATTTTGATGTGCACTGTCCCTGGCCAGATATGTATGGGTCGCTTGCTTGCTGCCGCTGCTGACTTGCGTGGCGTATGAATTGCGCATGTGATCTGCCGCTGAGCGTACAGGCACAGAGGGGTGACAATTGGCAAAGGTACACCATCCAACATCACGGAGCGACACGTTGGCGCTGGTCCTGTGTCTAATGCTAGGCTCCGAATCCTATAAGATCCAGGCGATTGGACCGCTCCCTCGTGCAGGCACACATGAGCTGCAAGTATAAGGGCTCGACGAGACTTCGACGGTTTATCCTGCATTTCTGGCAAAGGAGATACACGAGGACGTCCACGGAGGTAACTATTCTAGACCAGAAAAAATGCTTAGTTTTTCTAGCATTTTGAAGTCATAGAAATAATGGCGGTGATTCTTTCTCGGTTGATTTGAAAGTTGTTGTTGTAAGTCGTCCTCCATTCATTGCCTTTCCGTCAATTATTATCTTCTCCTCCCTCCCTCCTTAGAAAGATCACACACCATCCAACTCAAATCCTCCTCTCTTCCCCCCCATCTCACACATGGCCAACAACGTGGCAACGACGACTTAGCCAGTCTCAACCCTAGCAGCCGCATCGGCCCCCCTCCTCTTTCCTGTCCGGTGGCTTTATCATGGTGTCGTCCATTTGGCTATCTCAAATAAAGAAAGGAAACAACAAATTCATGTAATTGTAGGGGTCGCTTTTCAAGAAAAGATACTTCTAGTACACTTTATATAAGATCTCAGTCATCACAAGAAAATTTGAAGCTATATATGTCAATCGCTGTAGAATTTGTTGTTAATTTTTAACAAACGGTTCTAAAATTCTGATAAAAGACACGTACAACATGAGATTTACAAGTTTACAAGCTCTTGGACTTGTACAAATGATCACCAACATCCTTGTCAACAAGAGAAAAAATGGTAAATGTTTTAATTGGCTTTAGAAAACCCTAGGTACTCCCTCCGTCCCATAATATAAAATATTTTTGCAAGCTAATTTTAGAACCAACTTAAAGTTCCCTTCAATCAATTCCTGTTGAGATGCGATGCTCACAAGTCATCTAAGAACAATGTGTGTCCACCAAAAGGACACTTCCTTTTTGTGATTGGAACGCATGAAAGAGAGAAATTGAATAGTCTTCGACGGATCGAGGCTAACCTACACCAGCGGAGCTACACACAAGTTTGTAGGGGGCATGCCCCCCCTCCCCCCTCCCCTCCTCGCTCGAACAAAATCTATGAAGTTTTTATTATCCCCCTCAGAAAATTATGTTTTGTCTTTGGCCCCTCCGGGCATTCCTGTGAAGCTCCACCCATGCTAACCTACATCAAAGTGGTGAATCCAACCCTCAAGGTATCCAAT